AAGGAGGTTCTCCGGCTAATTCATTTTCTTTTAAATTTTACCAAACTTTTTGGGAAAATATTCATTTTTACATGCTAAAAACAGAAATTTTCAGGTTCAATATTTACATAGGATTTCACATCCAGCATTCGAAAATGAGATATTTTATTTAATTGCGCTGACAAAGTTTTCTTACAATTTTTTCAAAAAAGTAGTTTATTGTATAAAATAAAATTAATAGAATAATATATAAAACAGTTTCAAAAAAGATACAATCTTATTTTATGGAAAAGTCAAAAAGTTACGTAAAAATAAAGTTCATTTAAAAAAAAGCATTTTATTTTGTAAAACCATTTTGAAAATGCGTATTTTCTATTTTGCATTTGAAATAACTTTTTGAAAACGATTTTATATTTTATATTTGAAATACTTTTTGTGATACCATTTAGTATTTAGCATTTTAAATAGGTTTTGAGACCCATTTTTAACATCTCTGCTTGTAACTTGGAAATATTTCCTTCAAAAATAGTAAGTCATTTCCAGAAAAACTTTTACTATTTTCAAAGACAATTTTTTTTCATAAAAAATTAGAAATTCGAGAAAAATTTGAAAAAACTTTTATAAAAAAAATTAGAGTTGAAATTTTTATTTAATTTTAATTAATATAAATGTAGAAACTAAATAGAAATTAAAAGAAATTTAAAGAAATTTTTTAAAACATTAAAACTTTTTTAAATAAATGGACATGTTGAACGTAAACCAAGTCGACCGCGAACCGGTCGAAGAGGCGCCAGTTTGTCAAAAATTCCAAACAATTTGAATTTTTCTTAGAAGTAAAAATCATTTTATATTTGTTACCTTTTATGAAAAAATTTCTAAAAGACTGAGAAATAATATAAAAAGATTTTTAAGTTTCAAAATACTAAAATTTTTAAAAATTTTATGAAAAGTAAAAATTTTTTTTTCAAGCATAACTAAAAAGTTTTCTAACTTTCAAAAAAAGATAATTTTTACAATTTTTTCTTAAAAATAAGGGAAAAAGGGGAGAAAATTAATGATTTCAGGTGTTTTAGGAAATTTTATTAATTTAAGGGGATAAAAAAGGGGAATAATTAAATTTAAAAAGGTTTTTCTTTGAATTATATTTTTTTACATTAAACAATTTTTTTTATATATAATTGTATTTTTAAAGAATTGTAACAAAAAATTTAGAAAATAATTAAATTTTACAAAAATTGTTTTTATTTAGATAATCCAATTTTTGTTGTTAAAATTTGATAGAAATTGATTTTTAAAAAAATTTCCAGTTAAAATTTTAGAAAACAGTTGAATATTTCAAACGTTATAATAGAATTTTTAGGAAATAATTAAATTTATAAATATTTTTAAATTGATTTCTTTGAAAATTATTAATCGTTGTCTAAGTATAAAAATATTAAAATTTCTATTTGCAAAAATTATTAAATTTTTGAATATAAAAGTCGAAAATCAAGATTTTGAAATTTTCTGTAGAAAAAAGCGAATTTATTAAAGTTTTGAATAATTTTATTTAAAAATTCCAAAGAAAATAATTGAATTTTGAAAGAATTACGATTCAAATTTTTTGAAATAATTAAATTCCAAAAGGTTTTGCGCATTGAAATTATTTAAAACTCTAATTCCTGTGAAAAAATAAATAACAATAAGTTTTTAAATATTTGTTTAACAAAAATTTTAGAAGTTTTGAACAATTTAATTAATTAAATTTAATGTAATTTAGAAATTCCAAACAAAATTGTTTCTTGAAAAAGTGTAATTATATTTTTTTGAATCGATTTCCTTAAAATTATTTTAAATAATAGAAACCATTGATGTCAAATTTCATTGAAATAAATTTTATATTTTAATGAATTTTATTTGTTTACTTTTAAAAATTATTTTGAAACATAGTCATATTGTTGAAGAATTCAATCAGAAAATTCGGAAAATAATTGAATTTAAGAAAATTAGATTTTAACTTATTACCAGAATTCCAGTGTTGCTCAAAAGATGTCAATTTCTACTCGAGTCGTCCAAATAATTCTTAATATATTTTTTAAATTTAAAAATAAAACTGTCCTTAAAATTATATTTTTTATAAAAAATAAAGAATTGTCATTAAATTTCAAATAGAAAATTTTAATTATTTAATTATATGTAATTTTTATTAAAAATAATAATTAAATGTAAAATTAATAATTGGGAACGGTGGTCGTGACGTCACAAACCAATATGGCCGGCGAGATCGGTCTGTTTTAATGACAGATGTAAAGTAAACACGTGTAATTTTGATTGAAAATCAAAAAATGCAGCTTTTTTGAACAGAAATATTAGTTTTCACCAATTCGACACATTTAAGTCGAATTTTATAGAGGGTGAAAGGTTATAAAAAATGCCGGACATGTTACCTTTTGTAGAAAACTGCAATGGAAAAATCAAAATCAACCAAAAGTTCATTGCATTCTGTTTGCAAACATCGAATATGCGTGATAATCCAATAATGTTTGAATCTTCATTATTCCCAAAATATTCAATAAAAACTGATTTCGATTTTACAGGAACAAAAAGAAACTTTCAATGCTTTTAATCAAGATAAAACTGTCGTCAACATAACCTATAAAATTTTTGAGAGCGCATCACAAATAGTAATTCTGTAACAATTTAAAGCCTTAATTATATTTAAGCAGATTTAATACAATTTTTAATAACTTCCCTGCTTCAGTAAAAAAGAATAATCATCTTTTGTGAAATGCGACTCTTTTATGCCCAATTTATTTTCGAAATTGACCATTAATTCTCCAGCTCTTGGAAATCTTTGACCAAGTTGAACTTTAAAACATTGACCAACGAAAAAAAATATTCGCTAAATAATTTAATTATAGATAAAGCAACAATATTGCCACAAAATATTTAGAAAAAAATTTATGTTTATGTTTTGATGATATTACTTTACAATTTTACGAATACAGCACTTTCTACTGCTGCACCCAAAAACTGAGCAAAAATTATTGGTTTTCGATGTTTTGGGAGTAAATCTTACTCCGACAAAATTCGATTTAATTTCTTCAATTTATTATTTACTTTTTATGAAGTTCTTTCTATTTTAAACCTAAAATATAAAACGATTTAATATGTTATTTACATCTGTCACGTGTATTTTCCCTTAAACCAGACCGATCTCTCTAGTTCCAATTTTCACCACCAGATGGCGTATCGCAGTTTAGCCGTTCCCAATAAGAAACAGAAGTAAATAAAACATTTTGTACACGGAAAAAATCTTGGGTGACGTGCAATCCCAATCGTCGGAAAGTGGAGGAACTATAGTTTGGATGTGCTACGTTCTCAATTCGGGAAATCTACGTTCCCATGTTGGTGGCGCTGAACACCCAAGATTTGAGACTCAAAACCTTGGGACTGCAATAGCCGCATCTTGGGCGTTCAGCACGCCCAAGTTGGAAATGCAGCTCCTCCAAACTAAAGTCGTATCGCATTCGTACATTTTCGGTCTACTTGGAACGGCACGTCACCCAAGATTTTTTCCGTGTAAATATAAATTATTCTTTCATTGCATTCGGAAATTGAATTTATAAAATGTCACGTGCTCAGAAGAAGGGTACTTAAGAAGTTAATCATTTTCAGGTTATGTTTGCCTTACTTTTACTTTAATTAAAAATTTTTGTGCTTAATTTAAAACTAAAATCAGTTTTTATTACTTATTTTAAAAGTAACGAAGACTTAAATACCAGTGCTTTCCATTGAGAGTTGATCTTCTTTGTGTATTTTTATTCAAAAAATTACAAACATAACCTAAAATTGTTAGATTTTTATGTACCTTTCTTCAGCGCATCACAAATGAAGAATTAGATATTTATTAAAGTTTTTGCTGCAAGATTATAAAATCTTACGAATTATATCAAAAACTAATAAGAGAATTACATGGAAAAAATTTTTTAAATTAAACATTACACAAAAAAATATGATTAATTTTAATCAACACTTGTTTATTAGTAATCACGTTACTCGGATAAATTTAAACAAGGAATATTGCAACTGCTATATTAATCAAGTCTCGGTTACTTTTAGACAAGAAAAATTCTCCTTGTAAATTATTATCAGCATTATCAGTATCTACTTTTTTGAACAACAAAAAAAAGTCCGCGACAATTTAAAAAAAAATATTGTCCAACATTATCCACGTTTTACCAAAATGAATAAATAAAAAAACACATTTATACTTGACCTCCTTACCTACGTAACAGGTTATTAATTTCAAGACACCTTTTTTTTAAGCAAAACAAATTTAACACTATTTATTTTCCTTTATCAACAAAATTTATTACAATAATAATAAAAAAAAATTGTTTCTCTAGAAACAAATTTTTGTGTATCATTTTCAATAGTTTGTTAAAATATTAATAGAAATAAGAAAATGCGAACTAAAACAAATTTAATACTATTTATTTTCATTTATTATACCAACATTTATTATTATATCTGGAAAATCTCTGGAAAAAAATTTTTTTGCATCATTTTCAATAGTTTGTTAAAATATTAATAGAAATAAGAAAATGCGAACTAATAGGGAATGAAATTATTTCGAATTATTGAATTGAATTGCAGTGGAAAAAGTCAATCAAACAAAGAAATAATATACAGCAATAATACGACAATTAACAGCATTAAAATAGTTAAAATTATTGTAAAATAACACTACTTTTTTCATATATTAATATTATTTTGAATAAAAAAGAAATTTGCAGTGACTCTTTTATATACATACAAAGATAATAAGATAAATTGTTTTCTCGGAAGATCATAACATTTTCCAAGCGATTTTTCCCAAACGCATCTCTCTCGTTTTATGTTTGACCTTGCGCTACACCTGTAATCAACGACGAATAACTTCAAAGGGAATATAAAGATCAGCTTTGTGAAGGAGTTTACTGTAGATGTAAACGGACTATATTTTCTTGTAGTGGGAGATGCGAAGGTATAAAGCCAAACTGATCCAACAGCAAAGGACTCAGCACAAAGGCCAGATGTAGTGGTACTTCTAGTCGCATACGTTGCGAGAGAAAAAACTATCTTGAGACGGCGTGTGTGTATTCATTTTGCAGTGATTCTGTGCACGAATTTTCCAAAAGAAAAATTTATTTTTGCAAAGGCTCTAGCAATTTGTAAAATTCAAAAATTAAAATATGCCCATTGATACTCTATTTGAATAAAAAAAAAAAAAAAATTTTGTAACGGATAGTCAAAGCACAGAGCACAAGAGTGCAAATCGAGCTTCTCGGGATAAAAAAAACACCTCACTGCATTTTCAAAATTTATCGAGTGGTTAAAATAAAGTTTGTGTTAAAAAAAAAATTGGTTGTGTCATTACAAATGAGTAATATTGCAGGAATTTGTATCAAAGTTGAGGAATATGAGGATCTTGCACCAGACGTAAGTCATCAGTGGATTTTTACCATCAAAAATATTAAAAAGAACAAAATCACTCTTCAAGTAGAAAAATTGAGACAAAAATGGATAAAAAATATAAAAATGGACAAAATTCACGTCGACATTTGCCAAGGACAATATTATAAAGAAGCAAAAAAATTTAACGCTCGCGGGAACTGAATCTAAACCTGTTTTAAATATATAGAGGAAAACAGGGGATACAAATAATTTAAGCAAAAATTTTACAGTGTACAGTCATTCAAAAATGCAATTTAGTATTCAGTGTCGGCTGAGAAGCTAAATTTACATTTGTTTTTATTTATATAATAAATTATTAATAATAATAAATAATAAATTATTAATAATATTAAACAAAAAATTATTAATAATTAATAATAATAAATAATAAATTATTAAAAAATATGTCATATCCAACTTCTAAATAATTTAACTCGGACATTTACAAATTAATTTGTTTTTTTAGAAAACATTAAATTCGTGTTCCTAAAATTCGGAGGGTTTAAATGAACAAAATTTATTTTATTCTTCCTTAAATTTTAATTTTATTATAACATCGCGCTATGCATAAAATAATTATAAAGTTTCAAATGTTTAAATTAAGTTTTAAATAAATTAAGTTGAGGTTTTTAATAAACAGATTAAAAGTTTTTGACTGTAAAACAAAAAATTAATCTTCCTACAGTTCTGAACAACAAAATTTATTTATTGCTTAAATTTGAATTTTGTTGTAATAATATTTCGCTGTGTAGAAAAAAATTATAATTATAAAGTTTCCAATTGTTTAAATTAAATTTTTAATTTTTATTAAAGTAACTATATTTTTTAAATATTTATAACGAAAAAGATTTCGTTCATTTAAACGTTCAAAACTTGTCCATCATTTATTTAAATAAAACATTATTTAAATTTATTTTAATTAAAAAATTTTTTTAAATTACAATATTTTAAATTTAGAAATTTTATAAATATAAATAATATAAATAAAAAAAAAAAAACAAAAAAATAATAAATCAGGGTTGCCATAAAAAATTAATTTTGTTTTACCCTGACTTTTTCCTGATTTCCAGAAAAAAATAATGACTTTTTCCCTGACCCTAAAAAATATTCTGATTCACTCTAAAACTTAAATTTATTTCTGGATTTTTTTAATTGTAAAATTATTCGAAAATATCAATAAATTATTTTGTAAATAAATATTTAATCATTATTATTACTGCATAGGAATTAAGATTTTTAGAAAATTTCAAATTCAAATCTTTACGAAATTCAACAACTCACAATACATAATTTAAATTTCCATAAAATTTTTCAAAAAAAATTAAATAATTTACAAAAATTTTATTAAAATCCTTCGCAAGAATTCAATTATTTAAAAAATGTAATAAAACTTGTTGAAAGAATTCAATTATTTTTAATACACTTAAAAATAAATTCCTCGAAAAATGTAATTATTACAAAAATTTTTTGCAAGAATTCAATTACATTTCACAAATAATGAAATTCTTCGCTAAAATTCAATGATTTTCAAAATCTACTGTTTTAATAAAATTTCTCAAAAGAATTCAAATATTTAAAAAAAATGTAATAAAATTCGTTGCAAGAATTCAATTATTTTCATAAATAATAAAATTCTTTACAGGATTTCAATTATTTAAAAAAAATGTAATAAAAATTCGTGGCAAAAATTCAATTATTTAAGATTTAAATTATTTTTAAATTTTAATACAATTTTAAGTACATTCTTCGAAAAATATAATTATTTTCAAAAATTTTATTAAAACTCTTCGAAAAAATCCAATTATCAATTATTTTTGCTAAAGTTTCCTGAGAGTTTTAAAATCCATTTGTTTACAATTCAATTTTACAAAATTTCGATTAATCTGGAAATTTTTCAATTAAATATTTGGAAAATAAAAACTTGAAATAATTTTTTTAAAAAATTTAATTAAACTTTTATAAAAAAAATTAATTCTACAGAATTATCAGTTAAATGTATGAAAAATCAAAATTTTCAAAGATTTTAATTTGAAACCTTTTCAAAATTTAATTATTTATAAAAATTTACACTCTAATGCTTTTAATATTCAATTATTGTCTAAAATTTTAATTAAAACTCATTTTTAAATCATTTTTTATTAGAAAATTCTACGAGAAATTTAACAAAAATTTGTAAATAGTTGAATTCCTGTGTTTTTATTATTTATGAAAATAATTTAATGTTTGCTTAGAATTTTATCAATATTTTTTTAAATAATTGAATTCTTTGGAAAATTTTTTATTAAAATAGTAGATATTGAAAATCATTAAATTGAGGAAAAATTTTGAAAATAATTTAAGTTTTGACAAGAATTTTATTAAAATTTTTGAAAATAATTGAGTTTTGAAGAAGAATTTTATTATTTTTAAAGATAATTGAAATCTTGACTTTAATAAATAATTTCTGACTTTTCCCTGATTTCCCTGACCTGTGTCAACTCTGTAAATATTATAAATAAAAATAACAATATTCTGAATATAAATTAAAATATTATAAAATAAAAAATAAATTTTAAAAAGTTAAGTCGCTTTGTCGTTAAGGTGGATTTTCGCCGACCCAGCTGCGCGAATGTCGCCCCTAGCGACAAAGTGAGTTAACTAAGTTTTTATTTCGTACGGCAGTACATAATTAATTATAAGACTAATTTTCAAAAAATAAGAATAATGTTTTATTAAGCAATCAACAGACATCATTTTTATAAATACTTTACTAAACAAATAAAAATTTATTTTACTCTTCTCGAGACGAGAAATGTTTGTTTAGCAACAATGATTAATTGATTTTCGAAATGAATTAAAAAGAAATTTCTGAAATCAGTCGATAAAATTCATAAAATTCATGCTTTTATATTCAATCTAGAATGCAGTCAGTTTAATCTTCGTGTTATTTCCAAGTCTTATTAAAATGTTTAATAAAAAAGTTATAAAAATAATATCCATTGTCCTTCAATATTTTTTTTTTTATATTTGAGTCGAATTTTAAATTTAATTGACACAAATATTTTACATAAAAGAAAAAATTAAAAAAAAAAATAAATAACTAAGGATTTTCTCTAAAATTTTTGTATATATAACGAATGATATTTACAAGATAATAATTATAGTCTTTAGAATAAAAAATTTTACTCCTGGCAATAACCGTAATTATTGTTCAAAAACTAAACTAATTATTAAAATTTTTTGTTTGAAATTGTAATTTAATTTACACCGATGTTTATAAAAATGATAATTATTGACATTCAATAGCTTTTTGTAATTATTTATCTATTACTCGTGATAGGTTATTCATATTTGATTATAAAGAAAAGAGGAAAATTTTACAAGAATTAACTAAGCTTAGTATTAGTAAATGTATATGTGGTATAATTTTGTTCTTAAAATATATACAACGGTACTTTTTCTAAAAAAACTTATTTCTAAAAGATTAAATTTTTTATACTATTTGTTTATTTTTAAATATTTTTACTAAATAATTCAAAAATCGAAAATACGAATTTTTAAAAAATTATGGCTTATACATTATTTCTCTTCTCCTTTCCAAAAAATTGTTAAGATTTAAGAAATATAGCTTACTTTAAACACTAAATTGCATTTTTAGACAATTTTTAATAGAAAGATATTTGAGCAATTTTGAAAAAAATAACCGCCATGTTGGATCCGCCATTTTGAACTTTAAAAATTTGACTTCAGATTCGTAGAAAAAGCTTTAAAAAAAATGAAAAATAAAAAAAAAATAATAAAAATGATTTATAAAGCAGTTTATAATTTTTTATAAGAAATTAAAAATATTAATAATGAATAGTTATTAAATTAAATAAATAAGAAAAATTGTTTAAATTAATAAAATATTAAAAAAAAAACATTGTAAAGACTAATTCAAGTTTTGGGTTTAGAAGATATGTTTAGATTAAAAATAGTGATGGGAGTCTCGAACCTCACTTAAAATAGGAAGAAGAAATTGATTCATTTTTTAATTATAAATAAACTGTAGATAAAATTTTATTAATCTGTTAATAAAGAACTATAAGAAATAAATTCTTTAGAAAATCGTTATGGACATTACAAATTATTAACAGTAATAATTTAATTAATTATATTAGACATTAAAAAAAATATATATCATTTAACGATGTTTTAACTTTTTAAAAACACCTAATTAACCATTTAAAACAATACAATACAATTACTATACAAGATAGTAATTACAAAATTGTTTTATCTAATCTTAAATTAGTGGGGAACGAAAGAAAAAGGCTGTATAAATTTTATGTCTTATTTTTCAATATACCGAATAATATTGCTAATATTTTTCTACAATTTATTTATTTTTACTAAATAAAATTATGTAATCCCTTTCGATAAATAAGTGAAAAATAAATTAATTAATACAAAGAATATCATTATTCAAGATTTTTAATATTTTTCTATTGTGATGTGGTTGACATTTTTAATTTTTAACATAATTGCATGTAAAAGTTGAAGTTTGAACTTGAATAACTCAAAATTTAACATAGCAAAGGGTTTTAAAATTTTTACCACATTTAAAGCGCACTCCAAGAAACATTTTTTTAAAAATTTGTAGAACGAAAATTGATTTTTTAAAGAGTATCAGACTTCGCATTCGATAATTAATTTTAAAAAAGTAGCTTTCAAATTAAAAAAATAACTATCGAAAAATTAAATTTGACGACCAAAAAGACTCTTTTTAGACACCTCACAAAACTGACAAAAATTCCATTGTATATTTTATTTTCCTGACTTTTTCCTAATTTTCATCAAAAATATTTACTTCTTTCTTATCCTGATTAAAAATCGAATTCCTGCAACGAATTTTATTATTCATGAAAGAATTTAAATATTTATAAAAGTAATTTAATTCTTGCGAAGAATTTTATACAAATTTTTAAATAATTGATTTCTTTCGACTAAATTCATGCAAATTCTATTTTGAGTAATTAAATTCCTGAGAAATTTTTATTATTAATGAAAAGAATTGAATTCTTACCAAGATTTTTGCAAAAAATTTTCTAAATAATTGGATTCTGTTTTGGAAAACTTATGAAAATAGTAGATATTGAAAATCATTGAATTTCGATAAGTTTTTAAAAATAATTAAATTTTACAAAGAATTCTATTAAAATTTTTGACAATAATTAAACGTCTGTGTGGTATTTTATTAAATTTTTTTTTAAATAATTGAATTCCTAAAAATCATTTTATTATTTATGAAAATAATTGAATTCTTGCGAACGATTTTATTAGAATTTTTAAAAATAATTGAATTCCCAAGAAAAAATTTATTACTTTTAAAAATAATTGAATTCTTGTGAAGAATTGAATTCTTTCAAAAAATTATTTATGTAAACATTTGATTTCTTGGGAAAAATTATATTAAAATATTTGAAAATAATTGAATTCCTTTGAAAAATTTTAATATTTTTGTAAATATGTAATTAAATTCTTACAAAGAATTAAAAAAACATTTTTTTAAATAATTGAATTTTTTTTATCAATTTCCGTCAAATTGTATTAAAAATAATTAAAATTCTGCAATGAATTTTATTATTTATGAAAATAATTGAATAGTTGCTAAGAATTTTATTAAATTTTTCAAAAATAATTGAATTCCTGAAAAGAATTTTATTATTTATAAACATAATTGAACTATTGCGAAAAATTTTGTTAAAATGTTTAAAAAGAATTGAATTTCTGTGAAAAATTTTGTTATTTTTTAAAATAATTAAATTCTTTATAAGAATTTTATAAACATTGTTTTAAATAATTAATTTTTTCGAAATATAATAAATATTATGAAAATTTTATTTTAAATTTAATTGATTTTTTGTAAAAAACTTTATTTGCAAAAAAATTGAATTTTTCGATTAATTAATTTAAAATAGTATTAAAAATAATTGAAATTCTTCAATGAGTTTTATTATTTATGAAAATAATTGAATTCTTACTTAGAATTTTATCAAAAATTTTTTTAAAAAATTGAATTTCCAAGAAAAATGTTATTATGAGTGAAAGTAAATTACTTCGAAGAATTGTATAAAAATTTTATTGAATAATTGATTTTTTCGAAATTTTTTTGAAAACACTATTCTAAATTAATTTTTTAACTATCATAGTAACAATTCTATTCTAATTTGACAAAATTATAAAGATTCAATATGAATGATTTTTTTACTTATTTAAATTATCAATTTGTGTAAAAGTTCAATATTTATTTTAATTTCAAGTGTATTTGTTCTTTAGGATAAAACAATACCTTATTAGACGTTTATTTGTTTATAAAAATTTTATAGATAAATGACTATTTAAAAAAAATTACACATAAAAAAATATATTCAACTTCTTCGTTTTGATTGACATTAATAGTATTTTAAATAATTTTCTTTAAATTTTGTAAATAATTACTGTCAACCGGTAAATATTGTAAATACTGCAGCTAAATACTTTTTAAAAAGTTTCGATATAAGGACAAAAGAAATAAATTATACTTCCTCTTATGATTAAAATAATTATCTGTTTCAAAATTACCCCAACTGCTTTAGCAATGATGAAATGAAAATTAAGTTCGAATAATTATGTTAAAAAAATGTTTTGAATATTAAAACCTAGAGGTAACCTTTAAAAGAATGTCCACAAAAAATTATGCAATTTATATTTTTTGACAAAGAAAAGAAATTATAAAAACTATTTTTCTTTCAAAATTACTCCGGCTGACGGAATTATTAAACAATTATTAGAAATTAAAAACAAAGAAAGAGTGATTTTCTAATTTGGTTTTACAGTAAAATTTATATTAAAAAAAGTAATTTGGTGCTAATTTTATTAAAAAGTATTACTTATTATTATTTATTTTATTTATTATTTAAAAAAAATTATTTAAATTGATATTATTCTAATACGATTTTGATGATGATCAATTCAGTTTCCAAAGAAAAAAATGATGCTTCACAATTTTTATTTTAAACTAATAAAACTAACAAAAAAATAAATCATTATTCAAATAGAATGCATCATAAAAAAAACTATTTCCCTTTGCAAAAGATCGTTAACTAAGATTAATTAACTGCTGATTGTCCATGCAGTTATAATTATTTACATTCATTATAAAAAAAGAAATTTTATGCAATTTTTTATAGAAAAAAAATCGTCCTTTGTGACGTTACATGCAACATTGTCCTTATGCCTATTACTTAAGCGCACCTTCCAATTGTTCTAAAGCAATAAGTGAATTACAAGTGACTCAGAGCAATTATTCTCAATTAACTAAGAATTACGTCAGTGTTTTAGAACACTGACATAACTTTGTTTCAATATTTAAAAATTTATAAGGAAACAGGAATTCTGTTTCTTTAAATTAACAGACATATAATCTGTAATTAACATTTAATTACGGATTCATTGAACAAAAAAAAACTAGAACGTTTGTTCGTATATTTTAAATCTCTGTTGTATTAACTATTTTTTTTTGTAGATTTTTTTCGGTTCAGATTTCATAGGAAAAAATTTCAAGGCATACAGAAAATTAAAAATCGTTGAAAAGAGAATGTATCCAAAATCCAATATTATAAGTTACGGAATTTGAATTAAAAAAAATTACTAGACTTAAAAATCTTGTTGAGTGTTTACAACTTCATTATAAGAAAAAGAAACAAGTCGAACAATTTTAAAGAAATTCGATTAGTAAAACCAATTAAGTTGAAGAATTTGAGAAGTGAAAAAAATAAAAAAAAAAATTATCTTACGGAACTTCCATTTAGTAATTAAATTTTTTTGTTGCAGATCAAGGTAACGACTGGAGCTTCTGAAGTGGCAAATTGTCTTTCATGGCATATACCAAGGCCGACTTTGCTCGGACGTAATGAAAGAGACAGTGAAAATGAAAACTGTATACGTCATTATTTGCATGCGTCTTCTCCTTCTAGAGGCTCGACTTCCTCACAAGGATCTACTGCAAGTACTCACGTAAGATCACTCTATTAATTTATAAAAGTATTATTTTTTTCAACATATTTTGTATGTCAATATTATTCATCTGAAGGAAAAATAAATAATCTTTTACAAAGCCTAGTTTTTTTATGCATTAAACTTTCTGCATCAATTTCAAAATTCAAGGGTTGCCATAAAAATTTGATATTCTTTTGGCCTGATTCCTAGATAGGTTTATGAGTTTTTAATAAATTCAGTATCAAAGTCAACGATTTATGAGTTTTTTCCTGAATTCTATTTAAAAAAAAAATTCAATGGGAGTTCAATCATAAAAAAGACCATTTTTATAAACAAAAATTTTCAATTAAAACTAAAAAATAAAATTAATAAAAAAATAGGTGATAAAATTAAATTAAAAATAAAATTAGTTACAGCGATGAAGTTAACTTTATTATTTTCGAAAATTTCTTAAAAAATTCAAATATTTTTAATCGAATTTTTGGGAAACTTCAATTAATTTTAATAGAATTTTAAGGAATTTAAATTTAAAAAATTTAAATTAAAATCATTTTAATTATTTGTTTATAAAAATCCAATTATCTTTCAAAATACAACTGAAATCTCTTAAAAATCTAATTTTTCTAAATTTTAAATAACATTTTTTGGAAAATTCAATTGATTGAGACTTTTTGTAAAATTAAATTAATCAACCAATTATTTAAAATTTTAATAAATTTTTTTCATTTTTTTAATATTTTGAAAATTCAATTTCTTTTTAACTTTAACAAATTTAATTATTTTCAATTTAATTTTTGCAAAATTCCAATTAATTTGAGAATCATGTATATAATAACCGTCGTTCCGTCATTCCTTCATTCTGTCCACACCTGAAGTTAGTCATTTTATAAAATGTTTATTTTTTTTAGATTTTGACAGAAATGAAATTTAATGTTTTTTAAATAATTTTTATCCTATTTAAAAATTTTTTTAACCAGACAAAATTGTTTTTAAATATGGTAATAATTTTATTAAAATATAAAATTTAACGAAATTTTCAATTGTTTTCGGTAATTCATCAATTATTTTGAGAAAAAATTAATTTTTTGGTTCAATTTTTTCTAGAATTTCTAAATTAAATTATTTAATGATTCAGTAATTTTATTAAATTATTATTTTAAATACTTATTGTTATTTATTTTTTTACAAGAACTAAAATTTTTAAAAATTATAATTTCAAATCTTTTGAAATTTAATTATTTAAAAAAAAAATTACAACAGTAATTCTTTCAAAATTGAATTAGGTACTTTTGAGAATTTTTAAGTAAAATTTTCTTTAAAGTAATTATTTTTTTGTAATTTTGAAAAAATCTTTTGAGAATTCGATTTTAAAAGAAAAAGAAAATTTTTATTTTAAAATACGTCTAAAATTAAATTGTTTTCAATTAAATTTTACAATACTTATTTCGATAATTCGAAAAAAATTTTCAATCAAATTAAAAAATTGTATTAATTTTTAAAACACTTGAACCAAAATTTTTAAGAAAAACTAATTTCTTCAGAATTTTTAATTTAAATTATTCAAAATTAAAATTTTTAAAAATCTCAATTTGAATTCATTGAAATAAGTAGAATTTTATAAAAAAAAATAAATATTTTCATGCAATATGTGTAAGAAAAATTTGAAAAATTTCAATTCATTTAAAAAAAACTAAATTTTTTGAAAAATTTTTATTGAAATTCTTTTAAATTATTTTAAGTGATCTTTCTTTGATTAGATAATTGAATTTCCAAAGAACTTTCTTAAAAATTATTAAAAATAATTGATTTTCAGAATAATTTTAATTAAATATTTAAACAATAATTAAATTTTATAAGAGATGCGATTACAATATTTATTTAATTTTAATTTATTTACTTTTGTAAATAATTGAATTTCAAAAGATTTCAATTTCAAATTTTAGAAAATTAAAATTTTTAATAATCAAAATATCTAAAAAAGGTATTTTTTTTGAAAATTTTCAAAGAAATTGTTTTGAAAAAGTTTGAAATTTCATAAAAAAGAATTGTAAATTTCTCCAAGTGACAAAGTTCTTTGAAAATTAAATTATTCACAGAAAGAAGGAAATTCTTTCTTTGAATAATTTAGTTCTCAAGGAACTTTATCAAAAGTTATTCTTACAAATATTTGATAATTGATGTAGAGAAGAATTTTTATAAAAATTTATAGAAAATAATTAAATTTAAATCTTGAAAATACCTTTAGGAAATATAGAGTAGTTTTGGTAGCAACCTTGACGAAAAGTGTAGCATTTTTTAAAAATATAATCGAATTAAGTGGAAAAAGTTATACTATCCGAGGCGTGTGTTAATTTTTTCAAAATTTTAAATTATTTTAATGGTAATTTAATTACTTTATTATTTAAATGTTTACTCTAATCGTTTTAATTATGAATTTAAATATTTTTTAGTCAGAATTATAAATAAAATTATTTAAAATATAAATAACTTTTCAAATTAATATTTAATAATTATTAATTTTTTCACACTTGAAATTTACAAAAATTTGAGTTTCAAACCATCTGAAATTTATATTGTTTTATATTTATTTTTTACTTCTAAATAAATAAATATATCTTAAAATTGCAACCGTTACTAACTAAAATATTTTTAATATTATTTATCATTTAATAATTTATTTTTATTTATTAAAATTAATTTTAAAATCATGTTTTTTTTAAATTTAAATTAATAATTTTTAATCACGTTTTACATAAGTAACTTAGATTATAGGAGTACAAATTGTACGAAAGGGCATGTCCCGTTGTGAATCTAAATAAATAAATAAAAATTAATTTTGATTCAAAAGTTTTTCAAGATTTCAAGGTTTGTCAGTTTTTCAAAAATGTGTTTGTAAACAAAAACAAGAATTTTTTATTTATTTTAATTATTTCGTAGATTTTATCTAATGAAAATTCAATTTTTAATTAACATTAATTAATAAAAACTATTCAGTTTTTATAATCTGTATAGCAAATTTTTATTCACTATAATTATCATTTTTAAATTATTTTTTGAAGCATTTGAATTATTTATCCTCCGTCTAAAGTAAATAATGATTTTTAATTTATTTAATTATTATTTAATAATAATATATGTAATATTATTTAATATTATTTAATTTATTTAATTAGTAAATAATTTTCTACTTGTCTAGTAAAAATATTTACATTAATAAAAGTATCTTATTTTAATAAACGTTAAAATAAACATTAATAAATGTATATTTTAAATTGCGCAGGTCAATTAGTCATATAATCAAAAAATAATTTTGCACAATTAGTTTTTATAGAAACTAAGAATAATTCGTCAAAAAAATAGTTTAATTGATAATTAAATAGAGGAAAACTTATTTAATGACATTTGAAATGCTATTGGAATTTAAGATTGCGTTTTTCTGCCTGAGATGTCGAAATAATTTATTCAGCTGGAGTAGAATTCAAAATGATCAATATTAAAAAAAATTATCATATTTAACATCATACTTATTCAGCATATTTTAAAAAACTATTTCCGCAAATCCTACAAGTGATTCTATTTTTAAATGTTTTAAATAGATCTTAAATTTCTACTCGGATATTATTGTATATCAAATAGAGGTTAGAAGTAATTAATATTCTGATAAACGAAAGACATTTACAAAAATCTCTGATATTTATCATTAATATTTTCGAGTATCATCCAAATAGTGAATTTTTTTTCTGAAATTTTTGTTATGTAAAATGAATTGACATTTCGTATGAAATTAATTTCTCTTTTTTGATTCTATTTATAGAGCGCTGCATCAGGTACACTACTTTTGACAGCAGCGAATCTTGCAAATCTTGCCTCCATACATCCACCAACGGTAACAGCTCCAAAACAAATTGATACAGCATCAATTGCCAGTAGCACGCATTTTACAGTAGTCAATGGACTTGGTAGACCAAATATTGTTCATCGAAAATCTTGGTGTGCAAAAAATAAGTTAACTGTCCTAGTCTGCACAATGAGCTTTCTGTTTATGATTGGATTGCTAGCTGGAATACTTTTAATGGATGGTACGTTGAAATTAATTATAATTAAAATCAGTTATTAACCAATAAACCACTGAGCAATTTCATGGTAATTAATAGTGGAAATTTCCTTCTAGTATGGGATTTAGATGAAACTGTTATTTATTGTTTCTTAAATGCAACTGAAAAAGTAGTGAAACTTTTTTTGGAAAAATATTCATAAACATAGCAGATGTACAACTTTGAAATTTCTTAACATTTTTTTTAAAACCGCATTTTAATATTTTTAAAAATTAAACAACTTATAATAATTAAAGTTGACAGAGTGATAAAATCATTATTTTATATTAGCAAAATTTTTTATTTTCAAATATAAATTTTTAAATAATTTCATCATCAAAATTTAAAAAATTCACTTATCGAGTATATAATTAATTATTATTGTTTATATTTTTAAAAATTTTAATATAATTCTTCGGAAGAATTTAATTATTTCCATAAATAAAACATTCTTTGGAAGAATTCAGTTATTTTTATAAATAATAAAATGTTTTGCAAAAATTCAATTATTATCAATAAAATTTCACGAAAGAATTCAATTTTTTTTTCTTAATTCGTTATAAAATTTACCAAAAGAATTCAATTATTTTCTAAAAGAGTGACGCTAAATTTAGCCCATTTTTCGGACCGCGAAATTTTCAATCAAACATATTCTAAAATGCGCCGTATAAAGGGATATTAATTTCATAACCATTTTGAGTGGAGCATATCCACTCAGATTCGCTGGAAACTGGCTACTCGGGGGTTTTCAGGGTCGCTGATTTCGAATCCAATGTCAATTTTTCAAAATTCAAAATGGCGGATCCAATATGGCGGACAACTTTTTCTAAAATTGCTCAGATTCGCTTGAAATTAATTACTCTGGGGTTTTCTTGGTCGCTGATTACGAATCCAATATCAGTTTTTCAAAATTCAAAATGGCAGATCCAATATGGCGGACGCTTTTTTAAAAATCACATCTTATTGCTTAAAACTTGTTATTCAGGGGTTTTTGGGATCTTTGATTACGAATCCGATGTCACTTTTTCAAAATTCAAAATGTCAATAAGATGTTATTTTTAAAAAAGTCGTCCGCCATATTGGATCCGCCATTTTGAATTTTAAAAAACTGATATTGGATTCGCAAAAAAACAGGTGTTTTTAGCGTCACTCTTTTAATAAAATTCTCCCTAAAACTTCAATTATTTTCAATACAATTTTAATTAAATTCCTCCAAAGAATTTAAACTGACATCGAAAAAATTATATTATTTTTCAAATTTTTTTAAAAGATTTCAATTATTTTCATAAATAATAAAATTTTTCAAAGAAATTCAATTATTTCCAAAAATTTTAATAAAATTTTTCAATAAACAATTATTTTCAAAAGTTTTAATAAAATTTTTCAAATAATTTCAATTATTTTCAAAAATTTTAATAAAATTCTCCCTTAAAATTCAATTATCTTCAAATAAATTAAAATTCTTTCAAAGATTTCAATTTTTTTATTAATTAATAAAATTCTTTGGAGGATTACAATTATTTTCAAAGATTTTATTAAAATTCTTGTCAAGAATTCAATTATTATCATTATAAAAAATCAAATTCTTTGGAAGATTTCAAATTATTTTGATTAATAATAAACTTCTGTGTAGAATTTTAATTATTTTAAAAAATTTGATACAAATTCTTCTTAAGAATTCAATTATTTTCAAAAATTTGAAATAAATTCTTGTCAAAAAATCGTTTCCAAGTAAAATTCATAGCAAAAATTAAATTATTTTTTATAAATAATTAATAATTTTTAACAATAATTACATTTTTAGAGGAATTCGATTAAAATTCTATTAAAAATAATTAAAATTCTGAAATGAGATTATTTATAATTAATTAAAAATTTTGAACATGAATTTGTTCTCCAAAATGTTTAAAATAATTCTAAAATATTATTTTTTGTATGTATTTGATTATTTGAATTTTCGGAAACATGTTATTAAAAATATATAATTTTAAAAAATTAGAAGCTAATTTTCATTTTTAAATTTACATTTAAAGATTTTTCATTAAAATTTTGGATAGGTTCAAATATTTTCAAAATTTGCAATTAAAATTCTTCAAAAGTTGATTTTCAAAAATTGTAACAAAATACTTGTAAAAAATTGTTTTCAATTATATGTTGCAAAATTTCAATTATTCTAAATCTTTTTAATTGTATATTTTGAAAATTTAATTAGAAAATTTATTCAAAATAATTTTTCAAAGATTTGTTTATAGTTATTTTTTCCACTATAAAAATCGAAATAAGTTGTATTTTATACTAAAAAATGTGATATTTTGTTGCAATATTTGAAAGAAAAGTAAAAAATTCGCAATTTTTGAAAATAAATGAAATCGAAAAAAGTCTCAATTTTTTGAATTTCCCTGAATAAAATTTTTTTTGTCATCTCCCTGACTTTAACAAAAATTTTGTTTTCCTGACATTTTCCTGACTTTACTGATATGTGGCCACCCTGTAATTAAATGTTTACGTAGAATTTTATTAACATTTTTTTATATAAATTGAAATTTTGACAAGAATTTTATTAAAATTTTTGAAAATACATCATTGAATTTCGCAGAAGAATTTTATTATTTATATAGATAATTAAAATATTGACGAGAATTTAAAAAAATTTTTAACACAAAATATATCTTTGTTTTAAATGTTTTGTCAGGATCCCTAAGGCAAATTTTTTAAAAATCTTAATTTTTTTCCATTTATTTTATATAAATAATGTGTAACTTTTTACAGTGAGGGCCAGGAGTACGTACGGTTAAAATAGACAACAGAAGCCTTACATCAGAAGCCAGACCATGTTCTTCAGAAATTTTCTATTTCTTTCAGAAGAAACATTTACAACAAAGAATAATAAAATGACAAAACAATGCTTGAACTCATAAATTAACACATTGGTTTGTGTCAAGAAAACTAGTTGAAATTTCTGCAAATTTTAGGCTCGTTATTCAAAAATGTAAAAAAAGCGAAATGAGATCTAAAATTTGAGCATTTAAGGAAAATTAATTTAAACAAATTTTTAGGCAAAACATGTATTTTGAAAAATTATTTCTCTGCGGGGTAAAGGATTTTAGTCGCTGCACATGTGTCAGTGATTGAATTTATGAAAAAAGTAATTTATGCAAATTAAATTATTTTCTTAAATTCAGTTATTGATACATGAGCAAGATCATTTTTACTGACACGACTAGATCATTTACCGGATTATATAATAATTTTTATAAATATTACAAAACCCGTGAATGAAACTTTTTCTTTCGAAGGAAAATATTAATTTAAATTCAAGTTATTTTTTCCCACTTTAGAAAATTAATAATAGAAAAAAATTATCGCATATAGTATTAAAATTGCTTACTAAAAGTTTCATTCACTGCGATAAAGCTCACGATTAGGATATAAGTTTGTATTACACAGCGTTAAATGTGTGGTACGTTAAAAAGTAATTACATTTGTGTAATGAGTACGTTTGGAGTTATACGAGTATAATTTCTATTATTGAATGCAAGTGAGAATCAATTTTTATTATTATAAAGAAACATCAAAACACAATCTTGTGTGCCGATAAAGTGTTCCTTATTTGTTATTATTCAATAATTTCAAAAAAAAAAAGATGAATAGTTTCTACCGTATTTACGGTTTTAATGTATTTCTGTGATCTGAAGAAAATTATACTTTCAAAGTATTATTTAATTGGCGGAATTTAATTAGATGATTTTCAAAATATTATTTATTTTCTAGGTTATCACTTTTTATGTTCGAATTTCAATCTAAAAAATAATGCACATAAGAACATATTTTTAATCGTTTTCAAATTAAACATTTGAACTAATATTTAAACTTTAAATAATATCAAAAATTTTTTTTAGTTATTTAAAGGTGTGGCTATCTACACAAAAAAGTTTTTTTTAGCTTCGATTAGAAAATATTTCGAAAATTAACTCAAAGAAACGCTAAAAACTGAAACTGACATTTTTCCAAAAAAAGTAGTCTCGACTATGTTAATATTTATTCTGTAAAGTTTTAAGTAAAAAAAATCCATTGCTCCCTCATAGAGACGAAAATTTTTATTTGTCATATTTCAAGCATGTTTTTTAAAAAATGTCCGAACGTGTATGTGTGTGAGTGATTGACTTACTAGAAAACTGTTCGAAAAACTATTGGAAAAAAGATATTGTAAAGATAATAATATCAATGTATTTAAAAAATCAAAAAATTCGAAAATTTAAACTGTTTTGAATTTTTAGTTAAAAGTATTTTGTTTAATTGTTTAACTATTTTAATCAGCTAACAGAATAATTTAAAATGCTTAAATTTACTTAACTTTGAACACTTTTTGATTTATAAATATAATGCGCCCTGAAGAAAGGTAAGAAGCAAATCATTTAAAGGTTATGTTTGTGTTATTTTTATCATCATTAAAAATTTCTGCTCAACGGCATAAATCTAGAATCAGTTTTTATTAAATATTTTAGATTCAATAAAGACTTAAACATCAGAAATTTATATTAAAACTTAATCCCATTTATGTATTTTCATTTAAAAAATTATAAACATAACCTAAAATTTTTACATTTCTTTCGAGAGCGTTACAAACAATTATAAAAATAATAATTTAAAATAAATCTTCACTTTTTACCGCATTTGGCTACATAATAATCAAAAATGTAAAAAACGTTTTTTACAATTATTTATACTCTACAATTATTTATTATGGTACCTACTTAATTATTTATTCCTATATTTATATTATTTAATTCGGAATAATTTTAACATAATTTAAAACATTTAAACAAACTTAATTCTCTATGAGGAAACAAAGTGTTTATGAAATGATGATAAAGATAAAAACATTAATGATAAAAATTGGCAGCGATTTTTTAACTCTGTGACAATTGAATATTTTTTTTTATTAAAGTACCAGCATAAAATTAAGATAGTATTCTATTGCTCAAGCACAAAAGAAATGGTATAAAAATAAATTCTTTTCTCGATCGCTAATGTATTTTAATTTGCTTCAAGAAAACCTTCTTTTTAGTGTATTAATAGTAAAAATAAAATGTTTGTTGCACCTGCTTGATTCTCGATATCCTACTTTATCAATTTTTTTTAATCTTATAATTTATGAATACGAAATAAATATTTTGTTAAAGAATTAAATTATGGTTATAACTTTCTTTTTAAAATTTAATGGCAGTTTTTCGAAATAAAAAATATAATTTTTCAAAATATAATTCTTCAAAATATGATTAAAATTATTTTTCATAACGCGGTGCAAAAAAGGGCACTTTTTTGCACCTTGTTATGAAAAATATCATTCGTAACTAGTGCTAGCAGTTGCCAATTTTTGAACGAGCACTTTTTTGGAACAAACTGTAGGCGAAGCGAAGCACTCGTTACGAAATATACTATTCCGGAATTCAACTTACAACCAAAAAATTTTAATTACAATTTTTCAAAAATCTATTTTTTAAGAATTTCAACATTAAAATTATTCCAAACTTCAATAATTTTATGTTAAACAAATATTTAAAAACTTATTGTTTTTTATTTTAATTCAAGTTTCAAAAAAGTTCAGTGTAAAACCCTTTTAAATTACATTATTTCTAAAAATTGCAATTACAATTTTTCCAAAAGTTAATAAGTTTTGAGGATTTTTGAATTATTATTCAAAAGTTTAATAATTTTTAAAGGAAAATAATATTTTTATAATTATTTTTTAAATAAACGTTTAAATATTATTATACCTTTTAAAATTTACTTATTTCTTCAAATTTTCCGTTAAAAAGTTTCTAATATTCAATTACTTTTCAAAATTTTAACTGAAATTCAATTTTAAATCAATTCTTATTAAAATTCAACAATAATTGAATTCTTTAAATACAAGAATTTTTGTAAACTTTAATTATTACTGAAATTTTTAGTTACAATTCTTCAAAAATAATTTTTTAAAGTGAAAAAATGAAATTCTTTGAAATATAAAATTTATTTTAATGTAATTTGAGAATATTTTCTATTTTTAAATTCTTTAAAATTAATTTCGGGAATTTAACTACTTAAAAAAATTTAATTCAGATTTTTTAAAAACCTCAATTTTTCAGAATTTTTAAATAAAATTTTTCAAAAATTTATTAATCTTTGTTTTATGAATATTTAAATACTTATTGTTATTAATTTGTCAACCAAAAATTAAAATTTCAAAATACTTTCAATCTAAAACCTTTTAAAATTTAATTATTTCTAAAAATTAAAAGTGCAATTCTTCCAATTCTTGAAATATTTTCTAAAAGTTTAACTGAAATTCTTTATTAAATAAATTCTTATCAAAAAGTTGTACGACAATTATTCAATTATTTAAATATTAAAACAAGCGATAAAATAATTGATTATTTCTTAAAATTGCAACTGTAACTCTATAAGTATGGGTTTTTTTAATTTGTGAAAGAAAATTCATAAAATATTTAAGATTTTCATTTTATTGCCACTGTTACCTTCAGGTCATGTTATTCAGTGGTCACGTGCCCTATATACTTTACTATGGAAAAACTTCACACTGAATAACATGACCTTAAACGATTTTCTTTTTTAAATTTAATGAAAATTCTTCTATTTTTAAAAAATATAATTTTTCTAACAGTTTTTCTTTAAATTTAGTTATTTAAAAACAACTGTTGTAGAAATCGCCAAGATATTTCTAACAACAACTTGAATGTAAAATATTTTTGATTAAATAATTGAACATTCGAGTACCACTGAAACAGTCATGGTTATAAATTTAATTCTAAATTTTTTTAAAATTCAATTATTTTCCAAATTTTCAAATAGAATTCTTTAAAAACATGATTATATTTTAGAATAATTTTTAAAAGTAAACAAATAAAATTCATTAAAATAGAAAATTTATTTCAATGAAATTTGACTAAATTTTCAATTGTCTTCCACAGGAATTAAAATTTCAAATAATTTCAACGAAAAACCTATTGAAATTTAATTATTTCTAAAAATTGCAACTGTAATTCTTCCAAAATTCAATTACTTTTTTCGACTTTTTAAATAAAATTATTCAAAACTTTAAGGATTTTTAAAGAAAAATAATATATAATTCATAATTTTTTTAAATAAAAATTTTAATATTTTTATACTTTTACTTGTCTTCCCTTATATTTTTAAAGAATTTAATTTAAAAAAAAGTTTTTTAAATTTAATTAATTCGTAAAATTTCTGTTTTAATGCTTTAAATATTTATAATTATTTTCTAAAATTTTAACTAAAAATGTACAATTTTTAAACTTTAAAAAAAAATTTTTTTTTAATTTTTTTAAATTTAAACATTTTTTTAAAATTAGACTTGGGACCAAAACGAAAATTTTTGTGGGTATAAATTTCGATGTGATTAACTTTAAGAACATATTTTATTTATTATTTTTATATTTTTACTAGTTTGACCCATTTATAAAATATTTCAAAAATTGGTAATTCTGTGATTCTTTAATTAATTTCATCTTTGGATTGTTGAAAAAAACTAACTGAATTTTATACATGTAAAAGTTTTATTTATAGTTTCATTGAAAATACTAAAATAAGTTAAATATATTAGATTCAGTTTAGACTTCGTTTAGTTTAGTTTAGTTTACGGTCATTAATAATATAATTTTATACAAAAAGCACTTACCTCAACTTCTTGAAGAGTTTGTGTCCATCTGTAGTTTGCAAGATCTGCTCCATTTCCACTGTTAGGTTTTAATTTTCCCTTTTCACTTTCATCTTCTTCTTCCTCATCTGCAGCTTCTGTTTTAACATTGCTCTCGGAAGAAGTAGAACTACTTGATGCGGCGCCCTCTGCTTTCTTAAAAATAATATCAATTTTATAATTTTTTATAAATAAAAAATAAATTTAGAAAAAAATGGTATAAAGACAAGACAGAGAGAAATAAAGAAAAAAAATGAAAGAAACTATTTACCTTATTATCAATTTCTTCTTGTAACTTTTCAGCCTCCTCTTCAGATAACTCAACAATTCTTTGATCTGTTTCCATTTTTTGAGCAATATCTTCCTCCTCCTTTCGCTTTTTCTCTATTTTCTCCATATGCTTTCTATTTTTCTCAGCTCTTTCTGCATTCTCAGTCTCTGCTTTTTTTACACCTGTATCTTCGTGCTTTTTAAAAATATCCATTACCAACTGCAAAGAAAATTAAAAAAGTTAAACAACTTTGTTTGCTTTCAAACAGATTCATTTTTATGCATTCAGAACTTTATTGAAAATTTCAATTTATTTTCTAAAAAATTCTATTGTTTTTAATAGAATTTCAGGAAATTTAATTAATTATTTAAAAAAATTTGTTTCTTGAAAAAATGCAATTAGAATTTTTTAAAAATTGTATTTCCAAAAATAATTTTAAAAATTGAAACAATTGAAAATTTTGTCAAATTACATTGAAATAAATTTTATATTTTGCTGACTTTTATATTTTGTTTACTTTTAACAAATTATTTTGAAATGTACTTTAATTTCAAGTCATCACAATTACCACATAACTTGACACATCTCAATTTTTATATTCCTAAATTTTAAAGCATTTTCTGAGTTCTTTCTAAAACCAAATATATCTTTAAAAAAAATAAAGAAATATTTTTTAACCTTTCTGCATTTTAAAAGTAAATCTAATTTTTTTAACTTTTACAAAAATTATATCTTTTTTCACATTTTTATCAATTTTATTTAAAAAAAATGAGATTGGTTCAAACAAATTATGTAAATTTTAAAAATGGGACAAAACAATGTGTTTTTAAAAAAATAAAGAAAATGTGTTTATAAAATTGTTTTTTACAATTTCTCGAAAGTATATTGTTATCCCCCTTTTCATTAATATTAGAAAAAATCTCGTCTGTCCAATGAAAATGATAAAAGAACAAAGGAAGATGCAGTTTTTGTAAAAATGGAAGAATAAAATTTATTTTTGAAAAAGGGAATAAAAAAATTTTTTTTTGAAAAAAAAATTTAAGTGGGGTTTTTGTTAAATACCTGATTGCAAAATTTACATTCTTTGTCGTTAAAGTATCATTTTTCAGAATTTTATCAGTTCATTGAAAATAAAAAGGAAAAATTTTTATAGTTATTATATTTTCCAAGTTAAAAGATATTGAATAGTCATAAAAAATGTAGGGGTCGCACAATTACCGCCAATAGTGTAAATAATAATTTTATTAATTTGAATACAACAATGTACCTTTACAAATTCTAAGAAGCTTGTAAAATTATGTTTCAATACCTTTTTTGCTGCTCCATCGCCTCCACCGGTATAAAAATCTGTTTTTCTAGCCAGAAAACTGAAAATTGTATCGAGCAGCTAAAAATTTAGAAAACACAAGTTTTATTATTTATATTTAGTGTCAACTTCTCTTTTGGGAAAATAACATTATTTCTAAATGATTTTTACAAATGTTTTTTACGTTACGTGAAAGTTTTCTTTTTGTTTCTTACGTTTAATAGTTGTTTTTATGTTTTTTACTTTTATTTGTGACAAATTAATATTCTTTTTTGGACCTTGAAACACTGAGAATGGTACTCAACTTGTACCGAAACGTCCGTTATTTTTGTAAAATTTGTCTTAATTAAATTGATCGTTTAACCAAAGCAATTAATAATTTTTTATTTTCTCTAAATTTATTATTATGCACTAGTTCTGTACATTTAACTATAATTATAAAGCTAAGCTGTAAAAAATATTAATTTTGTCTTGTAAATTAAAAAATGTACAATTTTCTTTAAACTTAGTATTTTTATTGATATTTATTTAATTATTTTTTGTTTCTTGTTAAAAGTGTTTTTATAAATTACATATTTTTTCTATTAATGAGATAATGTTGTAAAATAATTATTTTTGATTTCCCTCTAATAAAAATGATAAAACTGAAACTAACCTAAAACACCGGTAATAATATCAAAATACTTACATCTTGAACACCACCTTCATGTTGTTGAGCCATCGCAAGCAACATACCGTCGAATTTTTCATCGTTTTTCGTCATTTTTAAAATATTTTGTGAGAACCAATTTCCAATAAATTACTATCTAAAGAAGTTTAAATAACATTTAATAAAGAGAATGTAATGTTGTTACCAACGAGAACAACATGCGTATGACGATCGTGACGCTAGTGTCAGGGATCAGAATGCGTAACTTCATGTATGCAGGAGGAGAACCTCTGAAATGTGACAGTTTCTCTTTTCCTAGATTATCCGTATCCGTATTCATTCTACGTTGGCCTTTAGGGTGCAGTCCCATGGCACCGTTTTGCGTTGCGTTTTGTAACTAGGCCATGAGTGTGAGAGAGATGAAGATATAGGTTCGCTATATTTGCACTCATTGCCTAGTTACAAAAGAGACGCATGATTTTCCCCTAAACGACAAATGGTCGAATGTTCAAATGGTCGAATACCAAGTAGTCGAATCGTTAACTGGTCGAATGCTAAAAACATCGAATGCTAAAAACGTCGAATGTTCAAAATATCGAATCGTCAATTTGTCGAATGATCAAAACGTCGAATTCTCAAATGGTCGAATGCTAAAAACATCGAATCGTCAAATGGTCGAATGCTCAAAAGATCGAATCGTCAAATGGTCGAATGCTAAAAACATCGAATTCTCAAATGGTCGAATGTTCAAAACGTCGAATCGTCATTTAGTCGAATGCTAAAAACGTCGAATCGTCAAATAGTCGAATGTTCAAAAGGTCGAATCGTCAAATGGTCGAATACTCAAAAGGTCGAATCGTCAAATAGTCGAATGCTAAAAGCGTCGAATTCTCAAATGGTCGAATGTTCAAAACGTCGAATTCTCAAATGGTCGAATGCTCAAAACGTCGAATCCTCAAATGGTCGAATGCTCAAAACGTCGAATTCTCAAATGGTCGAATGCTCAAAACGTCGAATCATCAAAAATTCGAAAAATTTGCTTGGTTTAAGTCAACATTAACTTAAACCAAGCAAATTTTTCGAATTTTTGACGATTCGACGTTTTGAGCATTCGACCATTTGACGATTCGACGTTTTTAGCATTCGACCATTTGAGCATTCGACCTTTTGAGCATTCGACCATTTGACGATTCGATGTTTTTAGCATTCGACCATTTGAAGATTCGACGTTTTTAGCATTCGACCAAATGACGATTCGACGTTTTGAACATTCGACCATTTGAGAATTCGATGTTTTTAGCATTCGACCATTTGACGATTCGACGTTTTGAACATTCGACTATTTGAGAATTCGATGTTTTTAGCATTCGACCATTTGAGCATTCGACCTTTTGAGCATTCGACCATTTGAGCATTCGACGTATTGAGCATTCGACCATTTGACGATTCGACGTTTTTAGCATTCGACCAAATGACGATTCGACGTTTTGAACATTCGATCAATTGATGAGTCGATGTTTTGAACATTCGACGTTTTGACTATTCGATGTTTCTAGCATTCGACCAGTTAACGATTCGACTACTTGGTATTCGACCATTTGAACATTCGACCACTTGGCGTTTAGGGGAAAATCATGCGTCTCTTACAAAACGCAACGCAAAACGCTGCCATGGGACTCCACCCTTAGGGTGCGATCCCATGTATGCAGAATACGTCGACCGAAAGCAGAAAATCATGAGAGTGAAAAGAACAACAATATCTATCTATCTCTTTCGCACTCATGATTTTCTGTTTTCGGTCGACGTATTCTGCTGTAATGGGATTGCACCCTTACGGTCTTTTTACAAAGGGCAACGTAATCGTTGCTATGCCAACGCAGAGTTTTTACAATTTACTGTTCAAAAATATCTACAACCTACAATTTGTAACCAATTGGAGTGTTCATTGTTTTAAATTAAAGGGGAATAAATTCGTAAGACATCCCTCGAGGCTGATTTTTGAGTTTCTAATTGTTTATCATTTTTATAATCAAAGTTAACAAATTAATACAATTTTTTAAAAAAGGACGTTTATTTTCTTATTCCGTTGCTGCACATGTTCTAAATCAGTTCAAATTGAATCAATATGACCACCAGACAATTAATAAAGCATAAGTACTTTATTTCAATTGTTATAAACAATATCACAGGACTACAAAATTGTTTTTAAAGGAAGTATTGATCGGAACATGTTTTTTTATGTTTTTTTGGGTCGCTCAATTCGAATCCGAAATCAGTTTTGCGCCATCACGTCAAGTTTCTTCAAAATGGCGGATCCAATATGTCTGTCGAATTTTTTAAAAATGTATCAGATTTACTTGAATGTTACTCGAGGGTTCTTGGGGTCGCTGAATACGAATTTCGTCTTAGTTTTTCAAAATTCATAATAACGGATCCAATATGGCTGAAGTATTTTTAAAAAATTTATCAAATTTATTCGAAACTTGTTACTTGGGGGTTTTTGGGGTCGCTAAATACGAATATCACCTTAATTTAAAAAAATCAAAAATGGCGGATCCAATATGGCTAACGAATTACACAGGACCACAAAATTTTTTTAAAGAAAGTATTAACCAGACCATGTTTTTTATATGTTTTTTGAGTCGCTGAATTCGAATCCGAATGGTAGTTTTCCGCCATCACGTCAACTTTCTTCACAACCCTGCTAAAAATAAAATCAGGAATAAAGAGAAAACGTCAGAAATTTTGATGTTTTGTGACTACTTTGACGTTTCCTGAAGCTTTTGGTTAATTCTGACTAAAGGATTTTTTATGCTCCTGTCCCTGTTTAAAAAAATTATTAAAATGGATAGGATTTGATAGAATTTTCTTCCTTCACTCCTTGAAATTCGAATCCAATTTAATCAAATATTGAAAATCCAATCCACTTCTATCCAAAGTAGAAAATTAAATCCATTCCTATCATAAGTTTTGATGTATTATCTATCAAAGTTAATAATATACTAAAATTCAATATTTTACTATCAAGAGTTTGGATACGAATTCTATCAAATTCTATGAGTCGAAAAATCTTATAATTTTCTATCCATGAGTTTTGATTGAATATGTATCAAATTCTTTCCAAATGAAAATCTAATATTTCTCTATCCAAGATTTTGATACGAATTCTATCAAATTCTATGAGTCGGAAATTCTTATAGTTTGCTATCCATGAGTTTTGATTGAATATCTATCAAATTCTTTCCAAATGAAAATCTAATATTTCTCTATCCAAGATTTGGATACAAATTCTATCAAATTCTATGAGTCGGAAATTCTTATAGTTTGCTATCCATGAGTTTTGATTGAATATCTATCAAATTCTTTCCACATGAAAATCCATTATTTCTCTATCAAAAGGTTTGGATACAAATTCTATCAAATTTTATGATTATTCCCCAAATGTCATTTTACCGAACTGCACTTTTGCGAATAGTCATTTTTGCGAAAAGTCATTTTTACGAATTGCCATTTTTGCGAATTGTCACTTTTGCGAATCGCCATTTTTACGAATCGCCAATATTATGAATTGTCATTTTTGCGAATAGTCATTTTTGCGAAAAGTCATTTTTACGAATTGTCATTTTTGCAAATTGTCATTTTTGCGAAAAGCTATTTTTGCGAATTGTCATTTTTGCGAATCGCCATTTTTACGAATTGTCAATTTTCCGAAAAGTCATTTTTGCGAATTGTCATTTTTGCGAAAATTCCTATAGTAAATCTGCTTGTATGCATATATAGATTCACTATAGGAATTTTCGCAAAAATGACTTTTCGGAAATTTGACAATTCGTAAAAATGGCGATTCGCAAAAGTGACAATTCGCAAAAATGATTTTTCTCGAAAATGTCTTTTCGTAAAAATGACAATTGGCAAAAATGACTTTTCGGAAAATTGACAAATCGTAAAAATGGCGATTCGCAAAAATGACTTTTCGGAAAATTGACAATTCGTAAAAATAACGATTCGCAAAAATGACAATTCGCAAAAATAGCTTTTCGAAAAAATGACAATTCGCAAAAGTGATATTTCGCAAAATTGGCTTTTCGCAAAAATAAGTACTTATTCGCAAAAGTGCAGTTCGATAAAATGACATTTCGGAAAAATGACATTTGGGGAATAATCATGCGCCCCTTTATTGTTTTGTTGTGAACTACAGATTTTCATAAAAGTTTTAACATTTTAGAAAATCAACGAAATTTTTTTAACACAGTTGAGCTGTGTTTTTTATTTTTTTATTTCGTTTGATGTTATTTTTTGCAAATATTTACAAAAAATTACAAAGCGGTCAAATGACATTTAAGCAAAAATTTATTAAATATTTAATTAATATTTTTAACATAATAGCATATATTGCAAATCTCTATAAATATTTTAATTTCTGCTTGTATTTTTATGGGTACTTACAAAAATTATAATATTTTACATAAACTTACGTTTTTCAAATTTGCAGTTTATATAGACAGGTCGAAAAATATTTCTCACGTCGATTCGGTAGCCGCGGTCGTTAAGCGTTTAGATAGATAGGTCATAGGTGCGGGGTTCGATTCCCATAGGGTACAAATTTTAATTTAATTCTTCCAGTTTAATTAAAATGTTTGTATGTTTGGAGTGTGCTAAGAATATAATGTTATTAATGGTCATAAGAATCATAAGAATAATTATATTTTTTTTTTTTTTTTTATATTTTTTTTTTTTATTTTTTTTATTTTTTTTTTTTATTTTTTTTTATATTTTTTTTTTTTTTTTTTTTTTTTTTTATTTATTTTTTTTTTTATGGTCATAAGAATAATTTATTATTTTTTCCACAAATTTTTTTTTTAAAGCGTATGTTTTCAATTGTAACCACCTTGGATACAATAGGAAAGAACTTTCTGTCATTTTTCGATATAGGATTTGATAGAATTTAAATCAAAAAATCTTATTGGATTGGAAACAATTTTTAATAATCAATTTTGATAGAATTTGATAAGACTTTCTTTGAAATCAGTGGGACAACATGGGACAATTTTCGGATAGACAAAGTATTGATTTGGATAGACTTTCTATTAAAAGTATGTGATAGAAACTGATTGTAATTTTTGAAAATTTTGGATTCAGAAACAGGATTGAAATGGAAAGAAATTTTTTTCTTTCCATTTCTATCAAATTTTTTAAACAGGGTGTTGAATCCTGATGTTTATGGATTGCGATTATTGAGCATTG